TCTAGAGTGATATGGAGATTTATTTCTGTAATCCTCTCGTTTGTAATGATTTCTATGAGAAGATCTGCCTCTCTCTTCGTGTTTGTGATCAGGGTATCTTTGTTCTACAAATGGAAGAGTGGTGGGGTTTGTTGCACACTGGGCATGGAGCTTGTCTACAGTGTCGACTAGAGTGTGAGGGTGATAGGCATGAGTAACAAAGATTCTTATCTCTGATTATGTTGATTCTGTCGCTAATGGAGGTGTGCTTTTTGCACTTTTGGCTTTTATGTGATCCTTTACAGAATGCGCAGTGTTCTAGTTTGTTTTCGGCTTGAACGAAAAAGACTGTGCTGTCGGAGTTTTGTAGTGTTATCTCTGACAGCATCTTAGTTTCTGCTTGAGTTCGAACGTGTTTGAGAAACGATTCTACGTTTTTGTTCGCTTCAGAGTTTTCAAAAGCTCTTTCAGCTATTTTTAAAGGAAACAAGTTAGCTATTCTTCTTATGAGTGCCGTGTGATCTAGTTGTGCCTTATAAGTTTTTCTTGTTTCAATAATTGCTTCGATTTCGTTCACAGTTTGGATTATGCTGTCCGAATTGTCTTTTGATTTTTGTAAAGTGTCTAATTTCTTTTCCATGAGTGCTTCAAGCAAGTGTGGATTGAGATAGGTAGCCTCTAATTTTGCTTTGGCTACTGGGTAGCCTGCTTCGGTTATCGGGATCATTTTGATGGCAGTTGAAGCACTGCCCTCTAGTTTGGTAATGAGATAGCTGAACTTCTCAATGTCTGACCATTGCTGAGAGTCTATTATTCTGTTAAATGCTTCCCAAAATCGGGGAAAGTCTTCTCTTCTACCGTTAAACGTGGGAATATCGATTCTGGGAAGATAGTGTGAGCTGGTATTTCTATGAACATTGTCTGTATCTCTTTGCCAGTTTCTAGTTGTATCTATTCTGGCTTGTTCTCTTAGTAATTCTCTGAGATTGCTCACTTCGTTTTCTAATTCTCTAAGTCTTTCATTTTCTGTATTCCTATTTCTGAGATTTGATCCACCGCTTTCGTCATTTCTGGGAATTTCAAACGATGGACTCAAAAGCGTCCGGTGTGGAGTGCTGTGTAACGGTAGGGTTTGAGAAGTGATTGGCCCTTCAAATTTCTCAAAGAACTTCATGGGTTTAATATTTCCAAAGTCTGGGTATGTTTCAGTTCCTTGCCTCTTTGATAACCGTGTGAGATGCCTAGTGGCTCTGGGAGTTGGATCTTCATCCATATCTGAGGATGATATGTCTCCGTTAGGTGCGTTCCTTGGATACGGAGTGAATTGGTGTGTCTTTTTTCTGTT